GGCTACAACTATAAAGTCAAATCTTGCGAGAACTACCACCAACTGTACAGGAAATATCGTGAGACTTTACTGCAGAAGCAAACATATAAGGCAGAACAGAATAAGGGAGTAAGGAAGACAGATTCAGACGTAACACCTGGGTTACATGTTCATAACAGAATCAAATTTGTTTTTAATGCAGTGCTCTTCATGGGCATTCAATTTGAATTTACTGAAATAGTATTCTTAATATAGCACACTTTCTTTGTTTAAGAATTTTCTATTTTGTTGCATTCCATTGTAAGTAAACCTTGCATTTATTTTGGAAATTGTTGTTTTCAGTTAGTGCTCTTTCATAAATTAATATCGGTATATACCAATATAAAATTCATTTCAATAATGATTATATAACTTTTAAAAATTTGATCATGTGTTACATCAGTGTGTGATGATGGTTTAAAGGCATTCGGACTAGTACAAACTATGTCAGATTTACCATTAAAATGTATGGAGGCTTTAATTCAAGATATCTACAATACATCACTGACTATCTAAGACATACATTTCAGACATCAACAATCAAATTATGACTAGTCATTAAGTAAATTTGAGATATCTCACTTTTTGTTCTTACTAGTCATAGTTTTGAATAAAAATATCTTAAAGGACTTCATGTTTGTTGGTACAGTAAATACTCTGTTCTTGGCAGCTTGTCTGACATTTTAATTATTCATACTGATATCAAATTATATTGACTAAAATTAAGACCTATATAATTTTTAGCCATATAGTCCAGCCCTTCAGTCAGTTAATTAGTAACATTTTACAAAAGATTTCAACTTGATTGAAATTTAATTGTAAGTAAAATTGACATAACTTGGAGTTAAAAATAAACCAAGACAGTTTTCAAAGCACACAAAGCAGCTTGTTGCTTCTCATTGCTACCCAAAAAAGTTTCACATCTTCTGCATCAATGTTGTTTCTGAACGTTTAATGCTACTTGATTAACAGACTGTAACACTGTAATTAGGATGTTGCTCTTTCTCTCTTTTTTGTTCAGAGTCTTCCATCCAGTATTGACAAAGCAATCAGCTACCTGGAGAACCATCTGCCCAGTCTCACCAACCCCTACGCCGTTGCTATGACATCATACGCTCTGGCCAATGAAAACAAACTGAACCGTGAAATCCTTTACAAGTTTGCCTCTCCTGGTATTTTTATTGCTTATCTTAAAATGTGTATTACCATGTTCTATACTTTTCCTGCTGCATTAATATAATTTTGTCTTATTGCATAGACAACATTTGTAATAATGCTGAATACACAAAAAGACAATGAGTAGATTTTCAAACATAATTCTAAAGAAATGTTTTAGGAAAATTAGAAACTATGTGTTTTAAAAATTGTTTTTACAACAGATAATTTAACATAAACAATTTAACAATATTTATTTTACAAGCTGATTTAATTACATAACATCACACCTTACAATTTTAGAAATAGGCTTCAAGAGTAAATCAATTCTTCTATTTTGACGTTCAGTCATGTAATAAACAAGCTCATTAAAACACTTTTTTGATGACATGAGGAAATACAACACAATACAATTCAGTTCAAAGCAAATTCAAAAATACTTTATTGATCCCAGAGGGAAATTAGATGTTGTTGTAACTCATTTAACTAAAGACTTATTGTAGAGCAGGGGTGTCAAACTCATTTTCACCGAGGGCCACATGAGCGTTATGGTGGCCCTTGAAGGGCCTCTTGTAATGAACTTTGATGTTTCATGTTT